GTCTGGAACGATTTCATAAACCGCTCCGGTGAAGAGCAGGAGCGAGTCATCTCGTATTTGGAGGAGAAAGCCTCCAAGAAGCGGAGGAACAAGCTGCCAGACAGAGCCGAGGATAACTGGAAAGGTATGGAGATGGGGTGGGGATTGGGAATGGCCCCAGCTGCGTCTCTTGCTCTGTACATTGTCAGACGTAATTAATTGCTTTTAAGCGAAGGTCACAGCCGGAGCTGGGAAGAGCAGTGCAGATGTAAGGAACGTTTCTTTTCCCCCTTTTTTTAATTGCATCCAGGGTACAAAAATACACAATAAAAGCTTGAGTCCAGTGGCACCTTTTTAAAATTATTGTGAATAATGTTTTTATTGAGTTTTCAGAAAGCTTTACAGTAAGCAACATAAACGTTTTATCTGTTACATATTACTAAATGACAATGACTTAGCCTAACGTACTAAAAACTACTTAACATGAAGCCTTCAAATCTGACTTTTGGAAGGAAGTGTTCCCTTGAGTTTGGAGTCTACTCATTTATTCAGTCTAAGATTTTCAGCAGTGTGGGTAGTCTATAGGTAGAACCAGTTATGATATATTTCTCTTGTTGGGAGTATATCATTTGTCATCATATACTCTAGGACCGGTGCCCATATCCGAACAAAGGTTGGCATATTCCTGTCATTCGCTCTGTTCAGTGAGTCTGTAATTTTAGCCATTACGAATTGATCCCAAGTTGAAAGGGTTGGCGGAGTTGGTGATTTCTAGGCCGCCGCTGTACGAGTAGTATTGAGGTGAGTTCCTTGGTGTCGCTGGTCCTGTTGCCATTCCACATGTCCAATAGGACCACCTCTGGTCTACATGGTATTGCTTGCCATGTGATTACATTTATCTGTGTAACTACTGCTTTCCAGAATTTATTAATTTCTTGACAGTCCCACCAGCAGTGGATATAGGTCCCTATCTGTCCACCGCATTTCCAGCAGGAGGGGCTTATAGTTGGACTGTAATTGCTGTGGTGTGAGATACCACCTAGTTATCAATTTAAAAAATTGTAGTCTGATGTTATAAATTGGGGATTTGTTCCCTGGAGGTGCCCAGATATTTATCCAGTCTGACCCCTGCATATCCAGAGAAAGTTCCTCTTCCCATTTATTCAGTGGCACCTTTAAGACCACCAAAGTTTTATTCTGGGTATAAGCTTTCAGGTACAGTCTGTACCTGTACCTGAAGAAGTGTGCATGCACACGAAAGCCTATATATATTTTTTCTTCTCTTCCTTTGCAGAATATCCTGCGTACACGCCCAAAGAATGTTTCCAGCGCATCAGCCGACGCCTGCGCGTGACACTGAGGCGTGGCCGGATCCCCACGGTACGTTCCCAGGTCAGAGGTGGGGTGAGGAGGAATGTCATCTTTGTTTCAAGAGAGGGGATCGTGTTGAGTTAGTTGGAAGAGACGGCTCTCAAATCACACTTGTACTTGCTAACTAAGATCTTTTTTCTGGCCCTGCTCTTTTGCTTTGAAGGAAAGAAGAGTTAGAAATGTTTTTATATTATTATTAAAATAGTGAAGCAAGGAATAGTGTTCCGTGCGCCTTGGCGTTTAGTCATGCCAGCCACATGACCACGGAAACATCTTCTGACATCATAAGAACAGAAGAGAAGCCAGTGTTGGATCAGGCCAATGGCCCATCCAGTCCAACACTCTGTGTCACACAGTGGCCAGAAATACCAGGGGCCATCAGGAGGTCCAGCAGTGGGGCCAGGACACTAGAAGCCCTCCCAGCACCAAGAAGACGGAGCATCACCTGCCCCATACCGAGTGTTCCTGTCTATACCTTGTGGCTAACAGCCACTGATGGACTTCTGCTCCATATGCTTATCTGATTCCCTCTTGAAGCTGTCCATGCTTGTAGCCACCACCACCTCCCGTGGCAGTGAATTCCATGTGTTCATCACTCTTTGGGTGAAGAAGGACTTCCTTTTATCTTCTCAGCAATTTCATGGAGTGCCCACGAGTTCTTGTATTGTGGGAAAGGGAGAAAAGTACTTTTTTCTCAACCTGCTCTATCCCATGCATAGTCTTATAAACCTCGATCGTGTCACCCCTCAACCGTCATTTCTCCAAGCTAAAGAGCCCCAAGTATTTTAACCTTTCTTCATCTCTGGCTCTTTGGTTTGGAAACGAAGATGACCACTGTCCCCTAGAGTTGGATTCAACTAGCTTTGGAGCAAGGAAAACCTTTACCTTTACATAGAATTATTGCACAACTAGAAAGACCTACACAAATCTGTGTTCGTATTGTAACAGCCACTCGTGAAACGAGTAAACCAAGGCTGTGATTGTCAAAAAACGGTAACCTTTGTACTCTGTACATCTAATTCTGAACATGGCCAAAGAGTGCAGATCAGTAAATCTGAACAGGACCCTTTCAGGCTAGCCCTACCTCACAGGGTTGTTGTGAGGGTAAAACGGAGGGGAGGAGAATGATGTAGGTTGTGTGGGGTCTCCATTGGGGAGAAAGGCAAGGTGTGAATGAAGTAAATAAATATGTGCTGGGTGGAGCATCGCATGATTTTGAAGTGCTGGGGAGGGGGGGAACATTATATGTTGCAATTGAACCCTGCAAACGTAATTCCTTGACATGCGGAGCACCTGCTCCAATCTGAAAAGAAGAGTCCGTTGTGAGTGCTGGAGTTACTGTTCTGTGAGAGCCGGTACAGATGTTTTTTCTTAAGGAGCGGGCAGGTTTGCACAGCTACAGAAGGTCCGTCCGCACCTTTAGCTGTGTGACTTCGTATCAGTTTGGTGTAGTGGTTAAGTGTGCGGACTCTAATCTGGGAGAACCGGGTTTGATTCCCCACGCCTCCACAGGCAGCTGCTGGCGTGACCTCGGGTCAGTCACAAGTTCTTTCAGAGCTGTTCTCTCAAGGGCAGTTCTTGAGAGAGCCCTCTCAGCCCCACCTCCCTCACAGGGTGTCTGTTGTGGGGAGGGGAAGGGAAAGGAGTTTGTAACCCGCTCTGAGACTCCCTTGGGGAGTGAAGGGTATAAATCTAATCTCTTCTTCTTCTTCTGTCGGAAAGCAGCATCCAAGATGGCAGGGTCTTGACAGTGGCCACTCTCCCGTGGAGGGTCTGTCTTGTCTGGGGGTTTTCCTGGGGGTTTTGAACAGGCCCTGCCTAAAGGCCTCCTTGCTTACCTTTGTAGGGGACCCTGGAGTGCCTGGAGGAGGAGATACTGGCCTTTTTTTCTGTCCGCCCCCACTCTGTCTACACGGCAATGATGGATAATAGGTAACTCCAGGTTCCATGTGAGTGGCGCCCCCTTGTGTCCGACTTGAGCTGCCTCGCTTGCTGTTTCCTGGATTAGACCGCCACCGGCCCCCCTTTCCAGACACTGGCACCCACCGCATTTAGGACGTTCCTCGTTGGTGTCCGCCGCACGGTATCCTCGTTCCGAGAGCCCAGTGGGATGTGGCGGTTAAAGTGTCGGACTAGAATCTGGGAGACCCGGATTCAGATCCCCGCTTGTGTCTTGGAAGCTCGCTGGGCGACCTTGGGCCGGTCACACGCTCTCAGCCTGACCTACCTCACAGGGTTGTTGCGTGGGTGAAATGGAGGAGAGGAGAATGATTTCAGCCACTTGGCATCTCTGTTGGGGAGAAAGGGTTCGGGTATAAATGAAGTAAGCAAATTAATAACCCGGCTCTTATCAGTCAAAAGGCTTATGTGATCTGCAGATGTCTTCTGATGTTTGAGTCCTTTTTGACTTCAAGGACCCAGGATACCACTCGGGGTGTTTTTGGGGGAGGCACGTTCTTGGAATTGCAGGGTGCCCTTGAATATATTCAACACTTCCTGAAGATGCTGTGTGCAGGGGGGTAGACGGGTATTGGTCAAGAAGCTCCAATTCCTGGCTTCTCTCCACTATTATTGATTTGGGGTGGGGGGGGGGAAATCACCCAATGAAGAAAATTTGGGGTAGGCAAAACCATGTCCTCCGTCACACAACTAACAATCAACTGGAGGGAGTTGCTGTCCTAGGATATAGTGGTGGACTTTGTTCCCTCCAGGGCTATTTTTGGGCAGGAACGCACAGGAATGGAGTCAGTACAGTTAACAGGATGGGACGTTCAGTAGACAATGAAATAGGACTAAGGGTTGTAGAACCAACAAGAAGTCTAAAAACAGAACCGAAACAAAGCAAAAGTATAGATTCCGGTGGGTAGCGGAACAAAGTTAGAGTCCGGTGGCACTTTTGGTAGGCCCACAGTTCTGGAACCCATTCTCCGGAAGCAGAGGATAGAGTGTTTGTGGAGGGCCACGTCTGGGGCTAGTGACATTTGAAGCTGGACTTCCTCTCCCCGCATTCGGTTTGGTTTTTGGTGCCAAAGCCCAGTTTGGGGGTGATTCCAATTACTGGGAAAGGAGGAATTGGGATTTTTGGTCCCCCAGCAGAGCAGGAAGGACATGAAGCTGCCTTATACTGAATCAGACGTTAGGTTCCTCAAGGTCAGTCTGGTCCACTCAGACTGGCAGCTGCTCTCCAGGGTCTCAGGCAGAGAGGTCTTTTAAATCACCTCCTGCTTGTCCTTTTAACTGGAGATACCAGTAATTGAACCTGGGACCTTCTGCGTGCCAAGCAGAGGCTCTGCCACTAAGCCACAGACCCTCTTTACAGCTCTCCAGGGTCTCAGGCGGAGGTCTTCCACATACCTCCGCCCTGGTCCTTTTAACTGGAGATGCCAGGGATTGAACCTGGGACCTTCTGCGTGCCAAGCAGACGCTCTGCCACTGAGCCACAGTCCGTCTTTACAGCTCTCCAGGGTCTCAGGCGGAGGTCTTTCACATCCCCTCTGCCCTGGTCCTTTTAACTGGAGATGCCGGGGATTGAACCTGGGACCTTCTGCGTGCCAAGCAGATACTCTACCACTGAGCCACAGCACATTTAAGGCATTGCTTTGGGGGGGGGGGACTGCAAGGCATCTTCACCCCTTTCACACCCTCTTCAGCGCTTCCTTCATCACCGCGGGCTTGCTTTGGCAGCCACTGAGAACTAGAAACTTGGCTTTTTTTAAAAAAAGGAAACAAATGCTTTAAACGGTTGTGGGAGAGGACTGGATGTGGGAACCTCCCCCCCCCCCTGCAGATTTGGATAACGGCTCCATAAAGGTGTGGAGTGAACAGTTTGGTTTGCTGGCAGGCGTTCTGGTGCAGGATGTGCTTTTCATGATGTGCCCCACGGCGGCAGCCTGGAAGGGCTTCCGCACGTGAGCCACGGCCCCGTTAATGTCTCCCCCTTTGTTTCCTTGCAGTTTCGAACGGCTGTTGCTTCACGCCCTCTGCCAGTACATGGATCTTGTCTCTGCCAGTGAGGATGGTTTTTTTTTCCCAAATACATACTTTCCGCAGTGCGACAGGCTCTCTCTTTGTCCCACTGAAGCCTCCTCCTTCTCCGAGGCCTCCTCTATGTTCCGATCTGGATTTGCCCCTACCTCTTTGTGATCTCCCCGTTGGCAAATTCTGCTTCTGTGCAAGAAGCCAGGGGAAGATCAAGAGCTCTTAAGATTCCTCATTTAAATGTTGCCAGCTGAGTATGCAGAAGGACTCTGGCCCCAGCCCCAAGGCGACAGCCCTGGGGCCTAGTTTGAATTCCCGGAAATACTTGGGCATAACAGGTGGTTGCCTCTGAGCATGTGCAGAACAACATTCCCTCCCTGCAAAGTAAGTGCAGCCAGCTCTTTCGCCAGGTTTTCCAGGTCATGGCGTGCGTGTGTGAGCATGACTTCTTAAGTCCCAGAACCCCTCTGTCGAGAAGCCCACCGCCACTTCTCAAGTGCCAGTTTGGTGTAATGGTTAGGAGTAGGGATGTGCATTCGGTTCATCCATTCGGGCCCCTTTTGGGCTGCTGCGGGCCGATTCAGATTCTCTGATCTGTATCGGCTTGCTGCTGAATTGCCGCCGAAATTCCACAGTGCCGCACCGAAACCCCAAACACCGGGGGGGGGGGAGGCATCAAGACCCAAGTGAGAGTTGAGATTGGTGTGATCAAGCCTCGGAGGAGGCTTGTATTACACTTTGATCCCCTCTCCCAAAGCGGGCGTTGCGCACAGCACTAAAGGATCACACCGAGCTGGGATGTCAGCTTAAAATCACCATTTCCTGACCTCACAAGACAAAAGGAAAGATTTGGACCGAAGGAGGCAGTGTGAAAACCAAAGACAAACAAACAAGGTAACGAATATCATTTTGCTTACCGGGAAACAGTTGAAGGCGAATGTTGAAACATCCGGACAAGCGATAATGAACTTTAAAAGCATTTGAGTAACGTTGGAGAGTAAAAAAGTTGATAAAAGAAGCAAATTTATAGAAAAAGTGAAACTGTTTAACATTCCTTTTACTTTACTTTACAAGTTACTTTTTTCCCACCATAGAGAACAATGTAGGGGCAACCTGTTTGGGGGCCCGTAGAATTGGACCCCCTGTTCCAATATTCTTGAAACATGGTGGGTATTTTGGGGAGAGGTTCCAGCAGCTACACTGTGAGTTTGGAGCCTCTCCCTCAAACCCCCTCCCCTCCAGCCCCCAGAATATACCCTATGTTTTCACCATTGACTTCAATGGCCCATAGGATATAATGGGGCTGAAATTGACATTTCGCTGGCCTCCCAAATGGGCTGGTACTGACGAAACTGACATGCGGGAGTCTTACTGCCCACTGAAATTGTTTCTGCCTGATTAGGCTCAAACTGAATAGGCCGAATTTTTTTTTTTGCACACCCCTAGTTAGGAGGGCAGACTCTAATCTGGGAGAACCGGGTTTGATTCCCCACTCCTCCACATGCAGCTGCTGGTGTGACCTTGGGTCAGTCACAAGTTCTTTCAGAGCTGTTCTCTCAAGGGCAGTTCTCGAGAGAGCTCTCTCAGCCCCACCTACCTCACAGGGTGTCTGTTGTGGGGAGGGGAAGGGAAAGGAGATTGGTAAGATGCTCTGAGACTCCTTCAGGTAGTGAAGGACGGGGCATAAATCCAATTTCTTCTTCCCGGCACAGGCCAAAAGAAACAGAACTGGGTTTATTATTATATTTCCCCCCCCCTCCTTTTGTTGTTACACTCACACACTTCTATGGTCCTTTCCACATTAGTCCTTAAATCCTGGTTCATCCCTGTCCCCGAACTTACATTCTACACGACACGCGAGTTCACCCCTGTAATTATCTTGGGGTATTTTTTGTTTCCACATTACATTGAGGTCACCACCCGGTTTTGTCCCATACTTGTCCCGGGATAAACGGATGCTCTTATAACCAGGGATAAATGCAAGGTATTGTGTCGCGAATTGAACTCTGATAAAACCAGGGATGAGATCCAAGTATAGAAAGGACCTATGTTTTATTAAAGGGGATGCCAGGGGGGGCGGGGGGGAGAGAACTGGGAAACTTACGTTGGCGATAGTGTTTAAAGAGAGAGACGGAGAGAACGAACACATTTGGAGTTTCGTAGGCGAAAAACTGAAATCAAGCAGAATTGTTATTTTTTTTAAAAAAGATATATATTTACAAATAAATTATCCGTAATCTCTCAATGCACTGCCGGTCAGCCGCTCGCGGTTCCGGCGACCGAGCAGCTCTCAACACGCGCTCCAGTCTTAATGCCTGAAATCTTTCCGTCCAGGTTCCGGTGACGAAGGGCAGCGGCAGATGAAGGTCAGCAACAAGCGGACCGTCTTCCTACCCCCGGCCCTCCTGCTTTCGGCGTACCTGGAGCAAATGAGCTAATGGAGGGGAAGAGGGACCTCCTCGGCCACCCCCACCTCCCTTCTCGCCCTCCCTCTTCCGTCGGCTTTTTTAAATATTTAACTGAGGAATTAATGTGCGCATGAATGCCAGAGGGGGGGGGGGTACGTTGGACTGCAAGGAGTAGTGGTTTTGTCTAGTTTGAGGGCCGTGGGGGGGATTCGGAACTGGATTGTTGTCGTTTGGCGCTGTGTGTTGGACCGTGGGGCATTGGTATAGCTCTTCAGCCAAAGTCCGTGGAGTAATTGCGATGTTACAGGGGGGGGAAACCCTTACTGCTGCCAACAAGGTCGCCTGCTCTTTGCCTCACGTAGGCCGTTGCCAAGTTGCCACCAAAGTCCTTGGGGCAGTTTTGCTCAGAAGAAGTCGTCAGCCTTTCTGGGGACTCTGGTTTGGAGCTCGGCAGTGACAGAAATAGCTGACCCCCTTCATGCAGCTCTCTCACACAATGAATAATGCCCTTTCGATCCGCTTTCAAAGCACTTTGCAACTGGATTTTACTGTGTGAAATGGCCCGATCCGCTTGCAAACGGTCGCCGGAGTGGATCGAACCTGCGTTATTTAGCAGGCGTGAAAGCGCCCACAGTGTTAGACCTCCAACATTTTATTGATTTCGATCAGATTTTAAAGGTGCCCTCAAACCCTTAAAAAAAATGAATTTATTTTTAATACAAGTCTTCTAAGAAAAAGGACCCTGACATGGATCGAGCCTGCGTTATTTAGCAGGTGTGAAAGCGCCCACAGTGTTAGACCTCCAACATTTTATTGATTTCGATCAGATTTTAAAGGTGCCCTCAAACCCTTTAAAAAAGTGAATTTATTTTTAATACAAGTCTTCTAAGAACAAGGACCCTGACGTGGAGCGAACCTGCATTATTTAGCAGGTGTGAAAGCGCCCACAGTGTTAGACTTCCAACATTTTATTGATTTCGACCAGATTTTAAAGGTGCCCTCAAACCCTTTAAAAAAGTGAATTTATTTTTAATACAAGTCTTCTAAGAACAAGGACCCTGACATGGATCGAACCTGCGTTATTTAGCAGGTGTGAAAGCTCCCACAGTGTTAGACCGCCAACATTTTATTGATTTCAACCAGATCTTAAAGGTGCCCTCAAACCCTTAAAAAAAGTGAATTTATTTTTAATACAAGTCTTCTAAGAACAAGGACCCTGACATGGATCGAACCTGCGTTATTTAGCAGGTGTGAAAGCTCCCACAGTGTTAGACCGCCAACATTTTATTGATTTCGACCAGATTTTAAAGGGGCCCTCAAACCCTAAAAAAAGGGGGGGAATTAATTTTTAATAATAAGTCTTCTAAGAAAAAGGACCCTGAGGGGAATCTTCTGTGATGAGGCGCTTCCTGTTTCCGTGCAGGAAGTGATCTCTCTTCCTGAGACGAGGCGCTCCGTATCCATGTTCCCTCCCACAGGAGGGGGATCGGCTCTCCTAAGATGAGGCCTTCCTCTTCCGTTTCCACGGCGCAGGATGCGTCTCATAAAACAGTGCCTCCCCTGGCCCATGTGACCATTGTTCACAGTTCTGTGCTCATATTGAAATTTGCGCAGGCTTAGTTAAGAGAATCAGTTGATAAACCAGAAGGATTTTCGTGAGGTGGCGGCTTGATGTTGGGGGGGCTATTGGCCGGGAGACTTCAAGGCCCAGGAGCAGTGAAATTCCCTGGAAACCCTTGCCCCGTTACACAATTATTTTGGGGAAAGGAGATCCCTCCCCCCCCCACAGCTTTCTCAGTTTAGGATCACGCGGTCGTTTTCTGGCCCTCTTTGTTCAAATCGATCGACTCGTGACACGATAGAGATGGATTTGGCGGGACACAAATGTTTTCCTTCTCTCTCAGCTTCTCTTCTGAGAAGCGCCCGGTGTTTTAAAACCCTACGAACGGACAAAACACGAGTTTTCCAGTTGGTTTTGAGGGGTTGACAGCCTTTTCAGATTTTGGCAAAGAAGGCCTTCGACACATTTGTATGATTTTTTAAATAACTGTGTGACCTCTTCCCCTCTTTTGCAAGCACATTTTGGGAAGGCAGAAGAAAGCACACTTTCCCCCGCCTCTGCACATTCTGTTCCCCTCTGCAGTTGTGGCTGCCGTCCCTTTGATTTTCAGCCCCCCTGTTTATAGGCCAAGTAATTTAAAATTAAGCATCATGATGCAGAATGATTGTTTACTCTGACCTTAACCGGGAAGAGCAAGAGAAAACACTTTATTTAACGGGCTTAAGCTTTGGTTTGGTTTGGTGCGGCATAGCAAAATATAGATTTTTTTTTCCCTTTTCAGTGCCTTAAATTCTCAACAGGGTTGGGGGGGGAGTCTTTAAAGTGAGGCGAGAACATTTAAAAAAATTGCTGTAGGCCACAGTTTCAACGCGCTGCCTCCAGAGACCCACAAGAGCCTGGTAAGCTGGGTCACAAAGGCAGCAACCCTGTTTTTTGCGCCCAGCTTTTCTGAAGGTAGACTACCTCTGAATGTGGAGGTTCCATGTTCAGGGAGCTGGTTCCTGGTTTTTGGAGGCTATCCCAGAGTTGTCATGTCGAGGCTTTCGGCCTCCGATACGTGCGTGTGTGTGAACTCCCGTCGCACACCCTTGGCAGTTCTGCAGAAGAAATTTTTTAAACATTCAAACTCTTTGGTTTACTCGAAATTATTCCCAGCCAAGTATGGACTTTCGGTGTGATCCCATGGAGGGTTTCTCCAGGTGGAAGAAGCTTCTGTCCCTGACGCCCACCTCCCACTGCTGCCCCAAATGCCCCCAATGCAATACTGGGGGGGGGGACAGGAGACACCCACCCCCACAGTACATGCATGGAGGCATCAGAGGTCTGCCGTGAGAAGAGGAGATTGGTCAACACCCCCTTCTGTCTACAGAAATCCCCCTTAGGATCTAGCCCTTTGCCTGGCCGTTGCAGACTTGACTCAGATTGTTCCGTTCCAAACCCCCCCTAGCCAAATTGCCCCATTTTCTAAACTCAAAAAAGGTGGCCCGTTTTATAAAATGTAATATAGTCTGTCTTTTTATATGTGCACGTCCTTCAGTTTCAAGAACGATGGATCAGGGCGCCGAGTCTCTTAACGTGGCTCTTAAGAAACTAATCGTGGCCGGGGCATTTTTAGCAGGACAGGAAAACGCTCTTTTTTTCCTGTAAGGGCCTGGTCTGCCGCCAACTGCAGTCCTGGGTGGCTTTTCAAGGCAACTGTGTCACTGTTTTCACGCAGCGCCTCAAACCAGCCTTCAAAAGTTACTCACTTCTCAAGAGATGGTTCGAAGCGTTTCTCTGGCCGCACAGACCTTCACCCCATGCCTGGCTTGAGGTTGAGAGGTCTTGAAAAGGAGTCCCTGTTTGATCACATAGAGGTAATATTATTTTAGGGGAAGAGGCTATTTGCAGGATGCTATATCGGTACGTCCGTATGGGAGGGGGTTTTCTCACGCCGCAAGTGTCAACTGATGCTCACATTTTAAGGTGCGGTAGATAAAGCGTGGATTTCTGTCTCTGGTTTCATACCCACGGCTGGGACTCTCTTAAACCCAGGTCACCTCCAAGAAGTCTGTGCGCTGAGTGCTGCTTTTTCCCAAGTTCGGGGTCCCCACTTGAATTACTCCCACCCAATTTATTTTGTCTTTGTACTCATCTGAGCTGCCCACACGTTTGTTTTGGCTTCTGTTGCCGTCCTCAGTCGTACTTTCCTTTTTCAGAAGAACAACAGCAGCTGGCAGGCCACCCCTACTGAGGACTGGTAATTCTGCAGTCTTTGTTTCAGCGTTGCTTGACTGAACAGAGGTGCAGAAGTATTGCCCTGCCCCCTATGGAGATGTTACAAGGAGGGAGGGCCAGAGCATCCAGCAGGGGTGCAGCAGGCATTCTCCACTAGACTCTTGGAGCTGATAGCAGGCCTTAATTCTTGCTGACGTCGTCTCGCAATTAGTTTTGGGGATTGCTGTTTTTAAGCTCCAGATGCTGGGATTTGAATCTTTGGTGGGTTGGGTCTGATGTGAAAACTGTATTCTGAAGTTCGATGAAACCACTTTTGTCTTGTATGAATTTTGAAGGCGGCTTTAACTGATGTGGGTTTCAGAACAAAAGAGGTGAAAAACCAGCTTGTTTTTTCTTCTTGGTCTCGCCGCACCTACCTCTAAAAATCCAGCACCGTCCATAACTGGAAGTATTGAGTGTGACGCATCAAATGGAAACTCATTATTTCAAACAGTTAGCAAGTGAAATTCTGCTTCTGCCCCAGGGGTGGCGGCTGGGTTTCAGGAACGTTCAAGATTCTAAAAACAGGTCCGCAGTTTTACATCCTGTATTAGATCAGGAGGTTGGTTCGGGAGTGGGGCAGCTTTCGGGTTTCACAGAACGCTTGGGTCAGGCGTCATCTGCAGAACGAACCATGTTGGGAAAGAGATTTGTGTGGGTGTGATCTTATGAGAACCCTCCTCCAGTGTTTCACTTCTGTTAGCATCTGTTTTCCTCTGTGATTTAAAAAAAGTGACAAACCAAAGTTTTTCTTTTGTGTTTTTAACTTCCAGCTGCCAGATAGCAGTGTCCGGTTGAGTATATTCTGCTTACTGCAAATGCAGCATTTTGAGGGTGTTGTGTTGTAATTCGTAGGTTGGGAAGTTGTTTCAATGGGAAGGGGGAAATAACCTCTGCCCTAACCCCCCCCCCTTTGAATGGCATGCACAGTGGCTTTTATAGACCGTTTCTTAAAAATAAGGGTGGTTATACAGAATCAAGGTGGTAAAACTTTTCCTGGACTGTACCACTCTGGGGATGCATCTGTGCGTCCCAGGGACGTGGGGTTGGCAGGAGTGGTGGCATGTTGTGACGCTCCCCCATAATTTTAAAAGGAAGAACTTGCGGAAACCTAGTGTTTCAGGGTTTCCCCATTCTATCTCCCTGATAGCTACATTTCTACATGCAGGGATCTGTTTCATTTTGTGGCCCAGTAGCACAGTCCAGTCATGATTTCACAGAATGTATGAACTGAGTTTGGATTCTGTTGGGGGGGGGGACCAGTTGTGATCACTGTTGTGTCGAAAGATATTTCTGTGTAAATAAATATCAGTGCTTTCAATAGTGGCTCTCTTTTCTTTCTTCCCACAAACCCTTTGGACTTGTTAATGTCAAGTTTTTCCCCGGGGGGCCAGTTTTTCTTGAGAGCCAGTTTGGGAGAACTGGGTTTGATTTCCCCACTCCTCCACATGCAGCTGCTGGTGTGATCTTAGGTCAGTCACAAGTTCTTTCAGAGCTGTTCTCTCAAGGGCAGTCCTCGAAAGAGCTCTCTCAGCCCTGCCTACCCCACAGGGTGTCTGTTGTGGGGAGGGGAAGGGAAAGGAGATTGTAAGCTGCTCTGAGACTCCTTCGGGTAGTGAAGGGCAGGGTATAAATCTTCTTCTTTTACCTCACAGGGTGTCTGTTGTGGGGAGGGGGAGGGAAAGGGGTTTGTAAGCCGCTCTGAGACTCCCTCGGGTAGTGAAGGGCGGGGTATAAATCCAATCTCTTCTTCTTTTACCTCTCAGGGTGTCTGTTGTGGGGAGGGGAAGGGAAAGGAGTTTGGAAGCCACTCTGAGACACCTTTGGGTAGTGAGGTAAAAGAAGAAGAAGAGACTGGATTTCTACCCCGCCCTTCACTACCCAAAGGAGTCTCAGAAAGGCTTACAAACTCCTTTCCCTTCCCCTCCCGACAACAAACACCCTGGGAGGTAAAAGAAGAAGAGGAGACTGGATTTCTACCCCGCCCTTCACTACCCAAAGGAGTCTCAGAGCGACTTACAAACTCCTTTCCCTTCTCCTCCCCACAACAGACACCCTATGAGGTAGGCTGGGAATGGCTGGGGACTCGGTGGTAGAGCATTTGCCTGGCACGCAGGAGGCCCCAGGTTCGATCCCTGGCAGTCGGAGGGAGGTGATGTGCATGATCTCAGCCTGGGACCCTGGAGTGCCACT